TCAGCTCCACTGTCCCTTCCTGTGGATCTTAGCAGTCTCTGTGAGTGTTGTTCGTCTCCTTGAATGAAGATGAACAACATCTTCTGTTCTTTCCCTTGAATTCTCCCTGTTCTTTCCCTTGAATTCTCCCTGCAGACAGGTGTCCAGAACAGATCTCCTTGTGACCCGGTGCTCCTAGTGGCTGTCAAGGCCGGTACGTTCCTCTGAGTGACTCAACAGTGACATGCATTTCACAAGTTTGGAATCCCAAATACCGGTTTTTAGGCAGACAATCTCTGTTGAATCGAGAGGGAGCACCGTCAGCTGTTAGCACCTTACTTCAACACAGGATAGAGAGACTTAATCTCTGAAATCTCTGGAGATGCATGTATATATACGATAAATATAAAACTTGGTTCTCACTAGCTCGTATAGGAAGCTTTCAAGCGTGCAGTCACTTCACCAGCATTTGGTGGTGGTAATCTTAAGCTCTCAGATAGTTGAAGGAAGTAGCTGTGTTTATAGACTGTTGTATGCTCCTGGAAGAAAAGAGGTTGATATGCTGTGGGCTTGGCATAGACCCTTGTGTGAATATGGTGCCCCTCCAACTCAGAACTTTTCAGATTTTATGTACTGTTTGTTTTAGGGCAGAAACCTACGTAGATAGTGAGACAAAAAAGGGACAGATCTTATAGCAGTAAAGTACTGCAAGCATAGTAATACTTAATGTAGTTGAAGAACAATAGGGCCAAGATATTTAAATTTCTCAGTGTTTTATTCAATAGAGAATCACAGAGTTGTTGAGGTTTGAGGGGGCCTCTGGAGATCCTCTAGTCTGAATCCGTACTCAGAGCAGGCCCAAATATATCAGGTTGCTAGGGCTGTGTCCCGCTGGGTTTTGAATGTCTCCAAGGATAGAGAGTCCATAATGCTATATTTTTTTTTGTTTGAGAATACAAAATCAGACTTTAGTTCATGCCCATCAAGTCCTCTATGACCTCAATTAGTTGACCAACTCACTTGTCTTTCCATGAGCCTTTTTTTACTATAAGAAATCGACTCTGCAATTTAACTGTTTCCATTTCGACTAACCTTCTTCACAGCTTCTCTACAGCAACACATTTCCAGTTTCTTTTGTCATAAATTATTTTCCATTGTATACCAAAAAATCTTTCCTCTCTATGACATTTTTTGACACAGTTTATATAAAACAATATATAAAAAGAACAGTAGAGAAATATAAATAATGATGTTGTAGTGCAAGCTCCCACAGAAATGATGTACACACTCATGCACTATTAAAGGCAGTGTTGTTCTGAGCATATGTATGTTTTTACTACGATTTGTAAATATATAACTGGATAAATGGAGTGTAAAGCTTCTGGTGAGTTCTCCCTGCTTTTTGAACGACAACTAAAATTTTATATCAGTCCTGACTGTAAGCTGTTTTATGCCATTTACCTTATTTTGTTAGACTTCTGCCATTTTGAAAAATTATTTCTATGTTCCATGTCTGTAACTATGGAAACCATGAAGTGAATAAGGGGAGTACAGTTCATGCTTCTGTGGCTCATCAAGACAGCCAAATGTTTGAATAGTTAGACAAAAGTTTCTGTTGTTTTTAAGAAGGTTAGAAGAGTATATAAGAATGATCCATGAGAAGAGAAATAAAGTTGAGAAAGAAACTGATCTATGAGGAGAGAGTGAAACCAAAGCAGAGCTTTCTGAAGCTGTGATTGTTGCTGGGGCTTAGAATTCTTCCACTGCCGAGGAAGTAAAAATAGTAAAGGATGAAACTGGGTAGTGTGGACAAGATGAGTGAGGAAGGAGTGAGAGTAGCAATATGGAAAATGGATGTAAATGAGGTAAGCTTCAATACAGGACCTGTGGAGTAATCAAACCATTGGGATGTTTGGGATTGCTGAGTTTCAAAAAAAGTGGTCTAAGCCTCGTCATGATGACCTGTGGATAAATAAAGCCTGTACTGCCTGATGTTCCATAAACGTTTCTTGAGGGCTTGCTTTTTTTCCAGAAATGAAATCTCAAGCCCAGACAAATCAGCCCAAACAATTAATACTTGCTGAGTCTTTTTGATCTTTAGCTAGCCAGGATAAAGTCTCTTAGACTTTTAACCCTTCCTTTCTCTTGCTACGATAGTCTCTTCTGTCTGCCTCTAAACTGTAAGTTTGTAAATTTTGATCATTTTAGTTAAAAGTAGACATGAAACCAGAGCGGCAAAGAAGTTCAGTGCAGGGTTTCACAGATTTGTCCAATCTATAGTCCGGCTCTAGGAGGTCACAGCTGATACTGAGACAAGCAGTACAATTTTCATAGTATGTTTTTAGTGGTGTGTTTTAATAAATTTATTCATGTAGTAGATTTAGAAAAAAACTTGCAGGGGGAGAATATTTCAAATTATTGTATGTAAATGTGCCATTGTGAATTTTTAGGAAAAAGACAAAGTCTTCTCCACAGGCAATTTTTGTTTCTTCCTTGAACTCCACAGGCATTGCCAGAGAAGTGCATTGCAATAGTGATTGGAATGTGGCTATGCTCTGTTTTAGAGACATTATTTTGCATGATAACTTTGTAGTTGCCTGAATGCATCAATTCTAACACTCATTTTGCTGCAGGATTATTCTAGACAATGTTTAATTTTTGTGGAAGTTGTCAGGAGCTTTCTGAAATACTGGCAGCTGTAGCTGAGAGATTTTGGCAGAAGGGCATGTGAAGAAAGTCAGTTTTGTGTTTTATTTTTATCTTAAAATGACTAGTAACGCAGTTGCTAACAGCAGTGTCAACAAAACTGGCATGAAAAAACCCTTTTGATGTTAACTCCTTGAATCATTGCTTCACTACACCTTTTCTGCATCTTTCTACTGGCAGTTTCTAGTTGTGGCTTTAGAAACTTAGGCCAGGAATAAGATTAGGATCAATGTGTGAACCGTGTGTTCGGTTGCCTAGAAGTAGGCAACTGATGCCATTTTTTTATGTTCTATGGTATATAAGACATATATATATGGCTGGCAGTGTGTCGTGACTCCTGTGGAAGGCTTATGCCCTCTGAAGTGGCGTGTGACAGCCAGATGGGATATGCTGATTATCTCTAATGATCTATCAATAGGCGCAGGATTTCATTTTATTTGGTTGTGTCTACTTGAAAGTGAGTGAATTATCTTTGGATGGAAATTTAAATACCTGCCATGCCTATAGTTATTGCTGTGTAGACAGAAGAAATTTAAGCATCTTACTGTCATCCCTATTCATATACATAGAATCATAGAATTGTTTGGGTTGGAGGGGACCTTAAAGATCATCTGGTTCCAACCCCCCTGCCATGAGCAGGGACATCTTCCACTAGACCAGGTTGCTCAGAGCTCCATCCAACCTGACCTTGAACACTTCCAGGGAGGGGCAATAGGATCTGATTTGGAAAATTAACATCTCAGTTAACTATGAAAGGCAAGGAGGAAAAGAGTATGAAGTGTGCTCTCTAGTGCAAGTGGAAGATTCTGATAGGGCAGACTTGTAGACATCCCTCCTTGATGCTCTGTCAAACGTGTAAATGCACCGCAGACTTCAAGGCAACAAGCGGTGTGGCCTCATTCCCTATGAACAGGTCTTGTGGTTGAATTGCTGTGTAGATTCTGTGATGCCAGTAAAAGATTGCACTAATGAAATATTTATAGGGCTTTTATAGAATGCCTATTTCATGAAACCTGGGAGAATATGATCCCATGTAAACTTCTATGCCTGTGCAAAATTTTACTGCATTTATCCAGTGGGTTAAAACACTGTTGGAGGGCGTGGGGAGAAAAGGGGGAAGAAACCAATCAGCTGTCAGCATAAACATAATTTTCTTGCCAAACTGGGATAAAAATATCAAGCTGAAAACCTAAGTTATGGAGAAAATCTGCTCTGCATAGGAATGGAAGAACAGGGAGTGCTAAAATGGCTTTTTATCGCAGTCCTGAAATGGCTGAGTCCTGTATGTTTGAGCATCTGTGTGGGCAAACCAGTCCCCTGCCTGCTTGGAGGGGAGAAGGGCAGAGAATTGCACTGTCCTTTGAACCCTTCAATCTTGAGGAGAGGCTTCAGCAAAAGCAGAACCTAGGCTCTTAGGATACTTCTTTACTAGGAAATTAAACCTGATCTGGGACTGTTCCTAGGCATTAGAATATCTAAGTAGTAAACCAGTGGAAGGCTACTTGGCGCGCTCTTGGTGTTCTGCCCACCAGCACTTTCTCATTAATTTTTCCTGGTGGTTTGGTAGTTGGGGTGCTCCGAGGCTTGTCTCCAGGAGACGGCTTGTATGCAGCCACCTTGCTTTAAAGTAGCACAGAGAATGCTAGCAGAGGTGCAGGTTATTTCATGTTATCTGACATCAGTTCTCAAAAATGTTTCTGAGCGTGTTAAATGTACTAAATGTATGGGTGTCATTTTAAGATGTAGTTTAACAGGAGACGGAAGGAATGTTATCAACAACAATAAACTGAAAAGATGTGTATACAACCTGCAGAAGGGAAATAATTCAAGTAGCATAAAGGTTCAGTAAGGAATAGCTTGCGGCCTGCTATGTTGGCACACTTGTTCCCTAATTTGCTGTACAGAGATGCAGCAGGATGCATGGGAGTCAGTGCAACTGTGGGTTTGCCGTTTCCAAAGTAATGAAGTGTGAAGGAGTGTGCTCCTTATGGAGTCTCCTCAGAATCCGGCCTTGGGTGAAGGATTTTGGGAACTTGCTCTGACCTTAGCCTGAGTTTCACCTGGCATGGGTCACAAATTTGGTATGAAGTTTGTCCCCTCCCCAACGTGACTAGCCTCCCAGGGCATGTTTGGAAGGCTCTCAATTTGAATTTGAAAAAAGCCTTTATCTGCATTCTAGAATGTAGTTCTGAAATATGTAATCATGAAGAAGTGTTCTTATTTTTGTAACTGAAAATGCTCTTTTTCTCTGTGTGTATAGTTGTATATATTGTTTACTATGGGCTCTTTCAAGTTGGAATTTCATGTTGTGTTAGTACAGGAATACTGTTCCTACTCATTGTGGATCACATTCAACAGTACCTGTAAGAGTAAGTTTGAGGCATATTTTTTCTGTGAATGAAATACCCCGTATTCCATGTGAAGGCAAGCATGGGATCCTTCTAGCATGTTTTCACGCAGCCTGTTAAGTTTCCACGTGAATATGTGTGGGAACTCTTGACCCACCTTCGCTAAGTCCTGTATGTGCCACTTTGTTTTTGTTTTGTAGCAGTAAAGCCTAGAACCCTTTGCTATGCTGTGAAAACGCACATTTTTCCAGAGCCATGCACCGTTTGAATGAGAAGCATCCCTTTACTGGTTCTCTTTAATAGCTTCATGTGCATTCACCTATGCAAGGATGCAATAAACCAGAATCAAACCCGACAACAAAAACCAGACTCTGGATGTCTTGAATGACTTACTGTAGCAGTGCCTCAGAGCTCACCATCCAGAAAAGAGTAAACAGAAATTAGTTATGAAGTGACAGGCCAGAGTAAAATTGTCTACCCCTCTTCATTTTACTGATGCATTGTGTGGAGGTCCAGAAGCCACATTAGAGAACTGTAATCCTTCATCAGAGCATTTGTTTGGTTGCCTAACATCTGTGGATTGTTAAGATAAGTTATTACACAGACCTGCTTTAGTTTAGATTAGTTTGGACCACATCCCAGTATACTCAAATCAGGATATAATTCCTGCATGCTGCTAAATTGCTTGCTCCACATAAGTCTCTCAAAATGTTTTTCAGTATACAGTTTTGTCATTGAAGCTGTTCTGTCACCTCAAGTTTTGGTTTCTTCCTCTTAAAGAAAAGCTTTTTTTTTTTTTTTTGGCTTTTGGACCAATATATCTCAAGGCAAATGTAGCATTTAAGTACTGAAGAGAATCCTAAACAGGGATGGTAGTGTAGCTCCTATGTGAGTATAATGCAGATTTCCTACATATGTAATCTGTGGTGATTGGTATGTATTGTGTCCCAACTGGAATGTTTTAAGACAGCTGTAAGAAAATAGTTTTGTAGTTATATGCCTTGTATTTCTTCTGTCTCTATTCTGTATTTTTCTGTGTCTATTTGTGCGTTAGCTATTCCTATTTGTTTGGATTTCATAATATTTATCATAAAATTAATTACAATATCAAAGTTGATTATGTACATCGATGGTAATTTATTGAAGTTTATTACACACTTTATACATATTTTAAAGGATCAGATCCATTAAATTGTAAATTAACTCTGTTAGCATCTTTACACATTTAAATATACTTGCATGCATAAACATATATGTAATTTAATTAGCATATTTAAATTTTGCTTTAGTATTTGTTATCCGTCCTTTAAACAAACTCTAGCTGATTTATTTTTTATTAACACTTTTTTTAGCTTTCCCTGTAAACTCGTAAAATACAGGCAATGACAGATTTTTTGTTACTGACTTTGATTTATAGCATGGACATAGATTTTGTACACACATGTTCATGCACACTCTTGTTCTTCAGTGAGCTAACAGTTGTCAGAGTCTTTAAAGTCATGTAAAAAGCTTTTTTCCTTTTAGTCTTGCTGATTTTTTAAATACCACTAATAATAATACCCAATAGATTCAAAATCTATTCTGTTAAAGCAGATAGTCTAATAAACTGATTCTGTTTTGTGAGGTGTGCTAGGTGAAGCAAATAAGACATTTTGGAATCAAGAGATTTTTTTGCTTAAGAACTGGCATTTATTTTGTTGATGTTGCTGTTCCTATTATCCTACTGAGGTTTATCTGCTTTTGTCATATGTTTGTGCCATTGTTGGAATAACTGTAGCTTTTGATTAATTTTTTAAATTAAAATGTCAGTACATATTTTATTATCCTTCTTAACTAGAAGAAATATGACAGTCGTCTTTTGATAAAGGCACAATCAAGATACAGGGAAAAGTTGGATGTCTTGTGTGTTTGGTCAAATAGTGCAGAAATGGTATTGGAAGTTCTAATGTATTCTTTAGACTTAAGCAGATAGTCTGTTCTAGGGTGTTTTAAATAAGTCTTAATTATGTCAAATATGTAGTATGCCTAAAATTTTTGTCATGCCATGTAAGCCATGCACTTCCTCCCCAGGTCAGAGAGTAAGAGAGCTCAGCACCAGAGCTTTGTCTTGTTTCAATTTCATTCCTAAAGTGTTTATTTTTTCTGTTCCTTTTAATTTTGTGTTGTATAATTTTTGTGACTGTTACATCATTCCTGTGTTTACAGAAAATTTAAGCATATTTTTCATTCCAGCTTCTGTCATCCTTCTTACCCTCTTTACAATTTTACCTGTTGTTTTACTGCTTTCCACATAAAATGAAAAGATTTTCTTTACCATTTTCCTTATTAGTTGTCAGCTTTGTTTCTGCTCATCTCTATTTGTGACAAAATTCCTACCTCTTGTATATTCTTCATGCATTTTACCTTTTTTGTTCTTCTGCCTCAAAACTCTATTTGTCTTTGTCCCAATTTTTTGTTAAATATACACAGACTTTAGAGTCCTGATGAACCTTTTATTTTTCTCTGGTGATTTACCCCTGTAAATAAAACTGTCTCGTGCTGTATATAGACTTGAAATATAGTGTTGCTTTACTGTGTGTGCTCCTTTTTTTTTCCCTGTGTCTCGAATTGGAAAAAAACTACTAAAAAATCCTGAGAAGCACCGTTTATGTGCACAGGTTAAATGTGATTGCCAGAGACATGTTTTATTTACTATTTACATCTGTAACTCAGAGAGATGGTAAATGAACATTTCCTAGCAGTAGAAATTATGGTACTTCTGCATTCTTTTCATTGGTGCTTTTAGTTGTCTATTAGTAGGCTTCTTTAGGTCTTACCTTACATCTCTGGTAAGTAGTTGTTATGGTGTAGCTAAAACCATGCATAGTAAATGCTGGAGTATTTGCAGGATAAAGTTGAGTTGTGTTACGTGAGAAAAATTAATTCAAGAGAAACCCCATGTCAGTTTTCTGTGGCAGTGGAGGTTGCGAGTTAGCTGGGCAGGACTCTGCCGCCTGAGGTACGAGTCCCATTCACAGCCTAATAGGCTTGTCCTGACAGCGATCCACACCAGCAGAAGCAAGCCAGCCTACCCCCCCCAGCTGCATCAACACCAGTAACAAGTGATGGTTGTGTTGTTGGTGTTTATTCAGAAGAGAGCTAGGGCTGGGCTAAGGGCAGATCACTACAGGTAGGACTGATGTGTGTTGACAGCGCATTTTGGAGAAGCTCGCATAGCATGTGCCTGTAGGATGCTTGGCTCTAGCCAGTGCAGTCAGTGCTTTGAGAAGCATGTTCTGGGTCCTGTCATGAGCACCAACCTCACCGGTTTAGAGGAGAGCGAGAGATTGTACCTGCTCTGTGACAGCATGTATTTCAGGGTCTGAGGGGTAGCTGCACTGACTCTCCTTGTTGTCTTCAACTAGGTTATGTGGGTATGCAATTTATGTCGAAAGCAACAAGAAATCCTAACAAAATCCGGAGCATGGTTTTTTGGAAGTGGACCACAGCCCTCACCCAGCCAGGACGGAGCACTGAGTGATACAGCGACTGGGGGAAGCTCGGATGTGCCGAGAGAAAAGAAAGCAAGACTTCAAGAGCGATCGAGATCACAAACTCCCTTAAGTACAGCAACTGCCTCATCACAGGACATCTCCGCTTCCAGTGTGCAGTCCGACCGGAGGAAAGGAGCAGAAGTATCACAGCCGGCTATGGGCCTGGATCAAAAGCAAGTTTCATCAAGGTCTAGAAGTGAACCTCCAAGAGAAAGGTAATGCTTTCTGTCTTGACAGAGACTCGCAATTATAAATGCTAGTTTGGTAATAGTACACAAGCTGGGCCTTGTCCATGTCTAAAACTGTACCAACAAAGAACAAGTGGATTTACTGACTGGGGAACGATAAATGTTCGGTAGCCAATATAATGTCTGATTTGGTCTGTGCAACAGAAATGAAGAAAAAAAAATTGCATTTTAGGCATATTTCCATGTACTTCAATGCATTTTGGTGTACACTTTTAATATAGAATTGTAGGTTACTTAAAATTTTAAGTTAGGCAGGTATTTTAAAGTTAGTAAACAAGCAGCAAGCTTCTAAGCTGATGAAATAACGTACCAGAATTTAACACCCCTCCCGCCCCAAAAAAACCAAAACAACCAAACAACCAAACAAAAAAAACACCCCATGGATTTCTGTCAACTATCCTTATGCAATATATTCTTATCAATTTGCATTATTTTTAATAATTAAACAGGAACGATTAATAGAGCTCATTTAAACCTGAAAAGTAAACATTCATGAAGAACAGCAATAGCTCTTGAATTCAGAGCAAGTTGTGTGCAAGAATAAAGCCAACTAGAGGCAAATGATTATATTTTAAGTGAGTAAATGAGTAAATTCCTGAGCTGCATTCACTGTGATGAACGGTTGAGGAGTAGCAAATCAAGAGAGGATAATGTGCTGAAGCAGTTGCTGTTCTTTTGGCTGCTGCCTGGCAGATGGCAGAGCAGTCGAGGGGAGAGCCAGTGGCAACAAAACAAGAGTCTGCCATAGAAGATTCTCTCTTGGCCAGAATGGTGGATTTTTTTTTTTTTTTTTTTAAAAATTGAAGTTGAAAATGGATGAGGAGCAGTGACTAGTAACTCACTGTGTGGGTGAGGTCTGTCTGGGTTTAACTGGACCAAAACTCAGGTTACTGTTATTTACATGTAGGTTGTAAATGAACACATGGTGCCCTCCTCTGATTCTGACGTTTTTTCCCCCAACACTGGGAAAGCCCCCAAAGCAGTTGTCACTCAGCTGAAGGATGGTTTTAGGGCAGCAAAATGCTTTCTATTTCTGCTTTGCTGTCCAAAAGTGAAATGGATATGTTAATCATGCAGTAGTAATGTTCTCTACTTGTCATTGAGACTTTCAAACGAAGTACAAGGGTTCTGAATGGAGAGCATCTATGGTAAGCTCAGGTCCCATTTATTGCCAAAAAACTCAGGAGGAGCAGGAGATGGAGAAAAAGGAGATAGGAGCTTAACTTGGATCCATACCCAACTTTGCCTGTCCTGTCAGATGCATCTGGGAAAATCTGCGATACGTAATCTAAGATGTATCTGTTGTGGAAGGAAAGATTCAGTGCCACAAAACAAAGTCCTAGTGACTTTGTCCTGGTGCAGGTTCATCTCAAATACAGTGCATAGCTGCGTTCAGCCTTCTTCAAAATCGATGGATTCGTATGTGAACTGGTAAACAAAAGGGCAGCTGAAATGATGAGAGAAATAAAAATAGCCAGTATAAGGGGATTTTTTGATGAAATAGGAGAGAGGACGGTTTTCAGGCAGCTTCGTTATGCATTATTTTGTACTTTGGTTGTATAGAGAAATAAATTACTTTTTTCATCCTCTTTTATTACCAGAGAAAGGAACGCCTTTAATTTATCTCAAGGAGTCAATTTGCTTTTCTTTATATGCTTACAAAATGGGCACTTCTTTTTAGAGTTTTATTCAGATAAAGCCAGCTAGGTCAAATATTACTTTTTCTGGATATATTCTCTTTTGCATTTTTTTATATCCATATTACTACTTTCTGTAATGCCATTGTGGGAGATACTCCATTTGGTGGTGTTTATATCTGTACTGTCGTAGTGCTTGAAGTGAATTGTGTATATCACTCATCACTGCCAGAAAAATGGATAATATACTCCAATTCTCTGTCATAGTGATGCAGTTACTACAAAGATGACTTTGAGTCTTCTGGCTTATGTGGGTACATTATCTGCATTTATCCATGTTAATATATTTGTGATTTTACTCAATCAATTGGGACATCCGTAATTTATGCCCTTGTGGACGCTGGAAGTTGTTTGCTATTGGAAAATAGAATTAGCCCTGGAAGGATTAATAGATGTAATTCATGTTAAAGGATCAAGTACCTTTCTATATGTTTTGCCAGAGCTTATCCTGGTTTGTAATCTGTTCGTGATAAGAGTGTACACAAGTATTTTTATTTGCATTCAATTCTTCAATTTATTATACTCCTTTGCATTGTAGGAAGAAGACAATATTGGTTTCCGACCAGCATGGCAAAGGTTTAAAGAGTGAGCGTAAGCGTGTGCCAAAATCCTCACTTCAGAAAGAAGGACCAGCGGATGACAGGGAGCGTAAAGAACGTCATGAAGGTAGAAGGCTGGAGAAAGGCAGGTCACAGGACTACCCAGACTTGCCAGAGAAACTTGAGGAAGGTAAAGTGCCTGATGATGACAAACAAAGGAAGGAAGATGAATATCATACCCGTTACAGGAGTGACCCCAATCTGGCAAGATATCCTGTAAAACCACATCCTGAGGAACAGCAGATGCGCATGCATGCAAAAGTTTCTAAAGCGCGGCACGAGAGAAGACACAGTGATGTAGCTTTGCCACATACAGAAATGGAGGAAGCGGAGGTACCTGAGAATAAATTAGGAAAACGCTCACAATTACAGGGAACTCAGGACAGAAAATCTCTTGTGGAAACTCAGAGGTCATACTCTATAGACAGAACAGGTGATGTAAGAATTTCTGTTTCTAAACAATTAACTAATCATAGCCCACCAACTCCCAGGCATAGTCCAGTTCCTATAGAACACGTAGAATACAAGAACCACGATTCCTTTAAAAAACAGAGCCGCCTTGATCCTAGCTCTGCTATTCTCATGCGAAAAGCAAAGCGGGAGAAAATGGAGACCATGCTAAGGAATGATTCCCTTAGCTCTGACCAGTCGGAATCAGTGCGGCCATCGCCTCCAAAGCCTCATAGAGCAAAAAGAGGCGGAAAGAAAAGGCAGATGTCAGTTAGTAGCTCAGAGGAAGAAGGGGCATCAACACCAGAATATACTAGCTGTGAAGATGTGGAGATAGAAAGTGAAAGTGTCAGTGAAAAAGGTAAGGACCTTTATGTATATTATGCACATGGCCATGGTTTGGGGACAAAAAATAATCTGTCTTTTTCTCTCTTTTGCCTCCTTTTTAAACATACACCGTTGTTTTTTCCCTTACCATGTTTTTTTTAAACTGAGAAGTGTCTTAATACCTGTTTGTTTTGTTTGCAATGTTTCCTTTTGCGTTCTTAGATGAGGTGGTTACAGGTAGCGTGAGCTGATGAGTTCCTTTCTCATTCTCTTCCCTCTTTCACCTGGAACTGACAGAATTTAAGGGTTCTGGTTTATTCTCTCGATGGTATCTGTACTCCTTTGGTCATTGCTTCATCCTTTTGTCTGTATGTAGAATAATTTTCTGTGAATGAACTGGAATGGAAGGTGAGTTCTGCAACAGTTTGAGAAGACCATTATGAAGCATCATAATCTTACTGACACCTCAGTCTTAAGATATGCAAAATTTTACTACATTTAATAAAATGTCAAGGATCTGTCAGAGTTCGTTGTTAATAAGGACAGGATATGGGGCAAGGGGAGTATTATATAGGAGAGGAATGAGAATTGCCTAACTTGTCGTCTAGATGAATTTGCTCCCAAGCTTACAAGTATGTTTAAAATCTTATTTCAGTTTGTTTTCGTCTGTTGCTGGTAACACTCAGCAGTAGGGGATAAGTGTAGTACACTGTGTACTTTTAAATAAAGCCTTTCTCCTGGCTGAAGAAGTTAATCAAATTCATGAACGGTGAACAGATGAAACAAGCATCATCAGATAAGACTGGTAGAACCTACTAACTGTCTTAGAACCTGAACTTGTCTTGAAGTGATGCTACAGTGAGCTTGAAGGCTTTTAGTGTCTTTAGAAGTAGCTTTTAGCTCTTTAGTTTATCTGTGTTTGTAACTTGAAAGCTTTCTGCTGGTGTTCATACTCAAAATGCCAACAGCTTGTCTGCATTGTCTTTTAGTTCCTGGCACAGTTTCCTGACATGTCTTTGATTCATATATGCTAACGTGTCTTTCTATCTGATGTTGTGGTCTCCTGACATCTCCTAAAGCTCTGCGTATACTTATAAAAAGAGACTATTTCTCTCCTATCCCATCTGAATAGCTGCTTGTTTTAACTTTCTAAGCACGAACTTTTCAAAGTATGGAAACTTGCTTTTCTGCACATTTTTAAGGAGGAATAATGATCATGCACCAGGAATTCTAATCCAGATTCCACTTAGACATAAAAACCCCTCACTTTTTTGACTGGGGAGATGTCAAACACAAGAACATACTGCATAGAGATGTTGTACAGTCTCCATCCTTGAAGATGCTAAAAACTCAGGTGGAGAAGGCCCTGAGAAATCTACTCTAGCTGACCCTGCTTTTGAGCAGGGGGGGTTAACTAGGGGCCTACAGAGGTCCCTTGCAGTCTCAGCTATTCTGTCTTTCTAAAACAATGCTATTTTCCCTGACTTCTGCAGTCTGTAATCTAGCATTTTCTGTCCATCTTTGTCATTTGCTTTCACTTATGTGCATCAATTTTTGAGGTTGCTTATGAAGTAGAAAGGATTTCACATATTCATTGGGGAGTATCATTATAAACTGGAAGGTCATTGATGTGGTAATCAAGTCCAGGCTGAAAGTCATTGATACTGATATCAGTATGTTGATATAGTTTGCGCTGTAATGGTCCTTTGTAATTAAAACCTTTCGATGTTTGCTTTCAGGCTTATGACACTGATCTCAGCTTTTGACCAACTTCCCATTGTATTGTTTAACTATTAAGGGTTGGACTTTTTTCCTTCAGTGTTGTGAATCCCAGAGGATTTAAAATGTCACTAAATGCTTATCTTTTGATAACTGAATCACATTCTTGGTTACCTCTGAGTCAGGTATTTATCTTCCCCCTTTAGACAGTGGAGGCCTTGGTCTGTATCATATCGTGGTGCTACCTCACTGTATTGGAATAAAAGTTATAGATAGGAGTATGTTAGGGACCTGTCTGACCACTGCCAACTCAGTACTTGCTTAACATTAAGCATTCCTTGAGACCTTATCTCTGTTTCTGAGTAAGCTAGCACTGTGTTATTAATCAGAACATACATACACACATATATGTCTATATATATCTGTATGTGTGTATGTATGCAATGGATTAATTGCATAAATATATTTAGTAATTTAATAGCTGTGAGATGTAGCTGTTAATGTTTTTTTGCCTGATCTTGATGTGATTTTTACAATCTTTGTCGTGGGAAAAGAAGTGGAGAACCTTTGAATCTAGGGTATAGTACAGAAAAAGAGCTAGGAAGTGTGATTACAAACAAGAAAGAAGCATTTTTGGTAGAAAAATATCCAATTATTTTTAGAATTAAATTTTCTTCAGTACTTGAAAAAATCTGCAGTATTTTGTGAGAATAGCTGGCAAGGCAAGAAAACACTGTTTAGGATTGCATTGCCCGGCATTCTGGGCACAAAAGCCCTTTCAATTGTGATATTCATAAACACAAAGCAATCTAATTTAGCTAGGACATCCCCTGCTATTTACTGTAACTGTTTAATATGTATTTCTGCAAAATTGTTAAAAAAATTCACAAGCACCGGAGATTCTTTCTTTCCAAAAATAAACATCTGTAGCAATCCACTGGGATTTTGTCTCTTCAGTGGAGGACCCAAAAGTTTAAGTCGAGTTGTTTCCGTGTTGGAGTAAATCTAGAGAAAGAACTGCTTAGTGGTGTGCAAAAAGGTAATCTCAAATTTCTTTTTTAAAACTATTAATGATTGCTGATAATCCTTTCCATCCTATTATTAATATAGGCTGTAGGATTACTTATTCTGAAATTTGTAATAGTGGAACATTAGGTGGACAGAGTTACCAGTGCCAACATAAATTGCATTCATACTTGCTTCAAAGACTTGCTAGAATAACATAAACCAGACTATTACAAATGAAATCCAGACTTCATTTTAAAACTGAGAACAGCTTCTGCCTACTGCCATCCAATGAAGATTGCAAATTAGATTTGGACTAAGTTTAAGAAAAAATATTTTCTTTCACGTTTAAAACGAAGTATTTGTGTAGAATGAGTAGATTTGTGTCCAGATGAAGTTGTATGTAACTTCTTTTATCTGAAGAGATATCTAGACTTCTGTCGTGCAGTCTTTGAAACTGAAGGATAAAATAGTGTTGGAAATTGGAACAATGTGAGGAGGTACTAAGAGCTGCTCATGTACTTTTATGTAAATGGACATGCTAATGGTTTTACATTTTGCATACTCATTGTTCATATTTGCCTGTGTACTTTATTCACACCATCTCGACTTGAAAATATGCCTAGTATTCACATAGTGTCAGCAAAATGGTAAAAAGCAAAGTAAAACTCACTTTGTATACTTGCTAATGGGTTTAACTGGGAGTGAGGAGAGCGTGATGGAGTTGGAGCATTGTTTGTAAAAAACCTCCTGAGGTGACATTCTGGTTTCTTTCAGTGAAGATGTCTGTTTCATTTGTAATGCCTTTCTTGCAGTACTGCGAGGAACAGTGACCCGATTTCATTTCATTCTTATGACATTACCCTTTTGGCTAGAAAATGTTAGCGACAGGGATCTTGCTGGGATCTTGGTGTTATTGGCAAGTGTGGAGTAGGGGGGTTGAGAAGGAGAAGACTTGAAGGTTAGAAGGAGAAAGGGACGCTGTGGTTTGCAGACAAATGTGTCAGTGCTTGCTTGGCTCCAGGAGGAGAGGATCTGACCCCTTCCTCCATCCTCCTCTGGTGTTTCGAGTGCTGCTTTGGGTGCTCATGCTTGGGGATGCTTCTGGGAGAAGGAGAGCATAAATTAAATCCCTGCTCCACTGATTTCTTCAAAGTGCTATAGCATTGTTGGCAAGGAGGATAGCTTGTGGGCTAAGAGAAACCACACGTGTGCAGTAGGGTGTATGAATAGAACAAAAGAAAACATCAGGAAAAGACTATAAAGAAGACGAGGCTGGTTTTAAATGGTTTTAGCTAAGCTTTTTCACTGAGATATTTTAAATCTGGAGTGTAGGCAAGTTAAGTTGTACTGTAACATCTGCTAGCACGTTTTAACATCTGTTCGTGTGGAGTGTTGGGCATAGTTTTAAAACGAGCTGAAATTGTTTAAAAATGTGAGCTTTGACTTAGTGTAAAATAAGATACCTTTGCTAGGCAGATTGTTAGTTCTTAGAAATTAGTTCCAATTTATCTTCTAGTCCTTGTGCAATAATTTAGATCTAAAACAGATTCAGATTTTGATGAAAATATAATCTGTCTCAGAATTTTGGTCAGTGCTAACATTATTCAATGCTAACAATATTCAGTGCTTTTGTGTAGCAGAAATTATTTACAGTGCTTATGGAGTTGTAAATAAACGCTTGCTAAATTAGCTTTGGGCGGTAAGATCTGTTCTGTGTACATGGAATTATGTAAAGTACATACATGCCTATGCAAATGAAATACTCTTAGCATGAGTAGGAAAAAAGTCATATTGGTGCCAAGAAATCTAACGCTTCACTGAGATATGTAGCTATATAAATGGGGATCATGGAAGATATGTGGCTGAATTCTCCATCAAAATCCTAGTAAAGCCCTTTCTGTAGTGTAGCTTAAGAAGGTTATGAACGTGCTGGAGGGAGTGCGCAGAAGAGCAGTGAGATTGACTGAGGTCTATAACACATGATATGTAAGGACAGGTGGGATGGACTGAGGTTGAATAGTCTAGGAAAGAAAGAAAAAAAAGAAAAGGAAAAACTGAAATAAAAAAAGGCAGGGAGGAAGAACTGGGATTTAAGTGGGAAAGAAGAAACAGGAGGGGGTAAGAGACTGAGTGCTTCTCTCTTCCTCTGGATGGTTAAGTTACTGCTAGGGAGGTTGAAGCTCAGTGCCAGAAACTCTGTCAACTCTGAGGACAGATAAGCAAAGTTAAGGATAATTCTAATCATTATTTCTTACTCGGTTGAAATAGAGGATTCCTGGAAATAAAGATTGATTTAATGTACTGAAA